TTATATTTGACTCATTTCTACGCTTAAAGATGCCCAAATCTCAGGGTATATCACATATGCCTGTCTGTTTTGATCATACGGCGCACAGCATCGATGTTTTTGTTGTTCACAGCAGTGGACGGGCGACCATCACGAAATTCGTCACTGAAATTCACAAATTCGTCACTGAAAGCCAAACAGTTCCATTTTCAAATTTTGTAATTACTTTTTAAATAATGTTTATGTAAGCCTATACCCAGCAGTGGGTGAAGTCAGGTTGTATATGATGATGATGATGAAGTGGCCAGTTCCGGAAACTTATAGTGCGCCCTATGTAATATCGAGTAACAGAACGAACAAGCGTACCTGATGGAAAGCTGCACGCCTGTCCTTAACAGTAGCAGTGCCATTCAGAGCTTTAAATTGCAAAGATCTGAGGGGCACTGCCACTTCGCCCGTCATCCTGACACATATGTCGACTAGTCCCATGTGCCTGTAACTTCACCAGCATCTCTATACTATACCAAAATTCGTCAAAATTGGACCAGCAGTTTAGGCGTGAAAACAGAACAGACAGAGTTACTGTTGCTTTTATGATATTAGTATGCATTATAATATAAATACATATGCATAAGTATTTAAATAACTTTTCGGAAAAGCTCATGTATCTCTATTTGTATTTTTTGAAATCTTTCTTACCGTGGAGATCTTTTTATGTGTTTTTGGTTTTAAAAATGCTAATAAATAGCATAGTAATAATTCTACTTTCGTTTGAAATAAATTTCTTAAGCGGATGTAAACGAATAAACCGTTCGTGCAAACAAAACTCTTAATAAGGCCTGGATTTTTCTGTTCTTAATATAAGGTTCGTGCTTTTTCTAGGAAGTGTAGTTGAAGTTGATTTATCGCAGCGTTCCCCGTGGCTCAAAAATTACAACGCTTCAAGGAAAGGCCGACGTTTAACAAAAGCTGCACCTATTATAGCGGTATGTTACTGCTTGCATTACGTGCAACTTTGTTTTGAGGTCGGATAGAGTTGATTAAACATGCGATGTGTCCCACTATAGTGCTTCTTGCATTTGGATGAAGGTTAATCTTCTTTTAATATTTTTAAATAAATTTTTAATCACAAGTATTTGAAATTCATTTCAGACTTATCTTTTTTTATGATATCAAGTGACGGGATGAACATAGTAGTTGGAATGTCATTCAGAATTTTAAATTGCAAAGAAGGACGCGACCAATGCGCTATTACCCTGAGACATAGTTGACAAGTCCCATGTGCCTGTAATTTCACCAATACCCTTACCTGTCAAAACCGGAACACAGTAATGTACACAATATTGCTTGGCGGCAGAAATAGGTAAGGTGGCAGTACTTCCCTGGACGAATTCTTTCACGATTTCTACAACTACAGAGACTATGACGTACATTGACTTCGTTACTATTCTACTGCACTGCTCGTGTAAAAAGTAAAATTTCAAAACATTTATGAGCAAGACATAAGGCACAAGTTATAAAAACCTGCATTCCGTGATTGCTTGTCGGAATTCGTAAAAATATCGATAGCTATTGGGACACTACCCCTCTCAATGGCGAAGGCAGATCATTTTATATTTTGGCTACAGCAAATTTGAAGTAATTCTGGGTGGCAGTTAACGAGATGATCGGCTTCTTAACGAAGGGATCACGCAGCCTCTCAGAATACATTTGAATGCATATTACAAAATTGAGAACCATAAACGACCATAATAATAAAAAATAAATAATAAACAACATCAGATACGTTGCTGTGATCCCATATAAGTAACTAAAGAACTTGTGTTATGGCAATCGGAAACAACGACGGTGCCACAAACACAAATCAAGTTTGTTTCTACATTGACCTTGCCGGGAATCGACCCTTAGACCTCAGAGTTGAGCAAGTCACGAGTCCACGGAGATCGTCAAAATATATGTGAGGAGATTCTAATACTTCCCCGTCTATAATTTATTTATTTATTAAGAAACACAACGGCGTTATATAAGATATTTTGAATAGTATATTATGTATGTATGTAATGAAAGGTTTGCCTGCTTTATCAATCATTAAATAATGTTAAACAAAAACTTATTGGTAAGTATATACATATAGTAGATACATATTTATATTAATTGACATTTTTTTTTCTTTTTTCTTAAAATGATTCCCAAAAAAGTGAACTAAAAAATCCAATCTTTGATCCTACTATAGTTCTAACTTGATTAGTCAAGCTACAAGGTGTCTGCACCAAATTCGTGTTGTCGGCTCAGGCTATTGTGAAAAAAGGCCAAGTGATTCGAGGGCCGAAAGGTCGCCCTTGTATCTCTATTCAACCTTTGTGCTATAAAATATAGCGCCGCCTTTTTTACTCGCTCTACGGATTTGTTTAGCTTGACAGATATACTATTAGAAGGTTAAAGAAAATATAGTTTTTAATTTAGTTCCATTTATCAAACTTGTCATGAAATCTGCGTTGGTATAAATATTTGAGAAAAAATCGTGTATCTGGATAATTTTCGGGTTAGTTTTCTCGGCTTAGTTTTTGTGAGTCAATTTTTATTATTGAAGTTTTTCTCGTGAAATAATATTTCAGGTTATTGCAAACGTATATACACACATCAAAAAAAGTTTGCGATCACTTCGAAAAACTGAAATCTTTTTTGTTACTGTAGTGTAGTGATTTTTTCTTCTTTTTAGATTCTTTATTTAAAAATAAATTAGAACATAAAACAATGACCCCGTTCAATTGTTTTTTCATATAAAAAGGCTTTCAGTCCTAGCTTACGCTCATTCAGAAATCTGATTAAGTCAATTATAAGCGATTCAAGATATTTTTCGCGGAAAGTTGTGATTGAAAAAATGCCAAGAGGATTATCAGAGGTTTTACGAGCTAGAATAGTAACTTTGAGGGAAGAAGGATACACCACGAGAGTAATAGCACGCAGACTTGCTATATCCCAATCCCGTGTCGTGGCTACGTTGCAGAGGTATCACGGAATGGGGAATTTAGCTGACCGACCCCGCAGCGGTCGCCCAACTGTTTTGACAGCTGCCCAAAAGCGCTATATTAGATTGCTGGCAGCCCGTGATCCAACAATCAACGCCACTAAAATAAAAGCAGAAGTCAGGGCCGCCTCTGGGCTTGAAGTTAGCACGCAGACCGTTCGCAATTGCTTGCACCAGGCTGGATTACGAGCACGGAGGTCTTGGCGAGCTCCGCTCAATTCCAGGCAACGTCAACAACGAAGATTGCAGTGGGCTAGACTTCGGCAAAATGAAGAAGGTGAGGACGAAAACATTTGGCAAAACTGTCTCTTCGTTGACGAATCCCGAATCAGCACTCATCCAGATAACCGACGTGTCCGTGTCTGGAGAAGACCAGGCGACCGTGAAAGACAAAGAACTGCCACTGGAACAGTTCAGCAAGGCGGAAAATCGGTGTCCTTTTGGGGTGGCATTATGATTGGAGCTAGAACGCCTTTGATCCCGTATCGGGGCTTCATGACAGCAGACATGTACAAAGCAGTTGCTATTGATGATATCGTCAGACCATTTCGAGTAAACCATGGGCACCAATTTGTACTGGTCGATGATAATGCGCCCGCACATCGAGCTCAACGAGTCAATGCTGCTCTTCAAGAATACGATATCACACGATTAGACTGGCCTGCCGGCTCGCCCGACTTAAACCCAATAGAGCACGCGTGGGATGCTCTTAAACGAGCAGTATGGAACCGTGAGCCACGTCCCCAGACAGTTCCAGAGCTCAGGGAAGCCGCTATTGAAGAATGGGATAGGTTACCCCAGGAAATGCTGGATAACTTGATCCTCAGCATGCCCAGAAGGATCTTCGCATGTATTCGAGCCAGGGGAGGAGTTATTTTATATTGAATTCACACCTTTTAATAATAAATTGTTGTTTAAGTTTAATTAAACAGTCTTTTTCTTTCTATGAAATTTCTATCACTATTACATTATGATTAATGGCTCAATTTTTTAAAATAAATAATAAAAAATAGTTTTATATTTTAATTTCAAACAGGGTATTCCTATTTAAAGAAAGCATACAACATAGATTTTTTCTTGATAAAATTAAATTTAAAGAATTATAGGAGCTTATGCTATTGATCGCAAACTTTTTTTGATGTGTGTATTATATGATTTTTTATTATAAAATTCTAGAATATTCATATAATATAAATTGCCACCGATTAGGTAGAGAAAACTAACCTGAAAATTATTCACTTAAGTATATTTCTGTACGATTTAACATAGTCTATTCAAATTTAAAAATATCTTTATTTCATAGGTAAGTAAATTACACTTGAAATCGTCACATTGACTAATTAATGATATTATTGGTTGTTACTCAATATCACGATAATATTCATTTTACGTTTTGTGAAATTACTCCATTACTTTAAATTTTTATCGTATTGATATTAAATTATTTTTTGTGAAATTACTCCACTAGTTTGTTATAATTATTAACGACATCTCTCGCCAGGGCCGGTAGCTATAAAGGTATCTAACTGGGTGATAAAATTTTCATAGATTTCTCATAGATGGCGCTATGACTAAAAAGTCGTTGAAAAACCAAATACAAAGACACGACAACAAGCACATAGAAAATTTCGTGAGGTCCGCTGGGTCGTTCCGTGACTTAGTTGGTATAGCGTCTGGCACGGTATGCTAGAAGACGTCGGTTCGAATCCGGCCGGATCGAAGGATTTTTTCTGAGTGTTCGATCTTTATTCCATTATTGTTATAATTATTAATACACATACAAGATCAAACACAAGACAAATTCCTGCGTCTGCAATTTAGGATCTAAAATTATACCTAACAATCTGTTAAATATAAAATAATCAGTTTTCTAATTTATTGTATACACATATTTTTCTTTTCGTAATTTCCCACAACCGTTTTAAACTTAAATTAAGTGTTATTATTACAAGTATCATACGTTATGGTGATTTCCTTAAAGTTAAATTATTACCTGAAATTTGTCGCCTTGTGCTATCCACCTGAAACAAAAGAGTTTTGCATTAGTTCATTTATTAACGATAATGATTGTTTACTCTCCTTTATTCCTTTTATAATTTAATTTAACTCACACCTATAAAAGTCGATGGAGCAAAATTTGGTTTTGGGTTTTATTTGAATTATTCACGAACTAGCCATCGTTTGGTTTCGCAATATTGTTTATAGTCTCTTTTTTTGTCATTTTAAAATCCTTTGTGGCAAAACTAAATGGTATTCGATCAAGCAAAAATCGTTTTAATCGAATGAAATTCGATCAATATGGAAAATGTTTTTGTATTTTTATAATTTGTATATTCATCGTCAACCCATTTATAAGTCACCACCACAAAAAATAATGGAAAACACATATTTTTTATATTAACTTAACACAAAATAGTAAAAGGAAAAAAATTATATATTTGTAGTGTAGTTTATACACATAATTCAGGTTTTTTTAATATGTGGCAGCACCCCCTGAACAGCATCAATATATATCCCAATGGGGACCTCGGAAGCAATTGGGGGTAAAAAAAAACCAATTGGTTCCGAGGCCCCCATTCGGACCACTTTGGGAAACTATGGTTTGGGCCATCCGCCACGCTGGCCCAATGCGGGTTAGGAACTTCACAAGATATCAGAGGGTCGTGAACCTACTATGACGTGCAGGTTTTATTACAATGTTTTCCTTCACCTAAAAGCTAATGCTAAATTTAATTTCGCACATAAATTCCGAGAATAATAACTAAAAATAAAAAATATGTGATAACTTTCAGTGACTTACTTTCTCACCTTCTTTTATATCAACTCGTTTTTAAACACAACTGTTATAAAGTTTTATAAATACATAATGATAATTTTTTACAAATATGTAAATTTGTGTTCTTGTAATTCTTACATAAGCGTATTTGAAACGAACTCAGGAAAAACGACTGTAAGTAATTCAGCACCTAAATGCAAATAACTCTATCCCAAATAAAGACCCCCAAACTCCCTTTCCGCAAATATTATGACAATTTATTATTATAGGGCTCTCGAAATAGCAGTTATTATAAAGGAATGTGTCGATTAAACTACACGTTATATCGAACGTAATGTAGTACAATAATAGCGCTCGTATAGTGGGTAAAGCATGTTGAAATTTAGCAGTAAGTTTAACCAGCTCCAAATCAGTGTCAGTTCTTAATAGGTAATAAATATACCAACAAAACATGCATGTGGAAAAGGGGCCAAGATCAAGATTGAGTGGAAAGCAAGCAACAATTTTTTACAACGTTCAGATCACCATCTTTTTGATTAATGTTCGAAATCAGCGATGTTCTGGCTTAAATATCTAAAGATTCAAGTAAATGGGAAGCGGGGTTTTAGCATAAAAAAATTTACAAGTACGTTAAACAGATATATGTACCTCAACATTTTGAGTTACATCTAGTGGGTGACATCCAATGAACCGAATTCAATTTCTAATTTACCACCTTTAGAGGTGGAATATTTTCACCAAATTTAAATAAAACTACTACTAAGGTATCATCTTTCCAACAAAAAGACTCATCGACATCGGTTCGCTAATGTCGGAGTAATTACGTAACATACACACATATAAGTAGTGTGCCGTCCTTTTTTCTCAGTATGTTGGCAAACACACTATCGTGCGTGTAGGTGCTAAATTAATGATATAGAATAAATGTGCCTCTTCTGGGTAAGCTCTCTTCATCGTTAACGTCATCTTGACTTGACCCAATTTTATATAAGAAAAACTTTATACGTCTGTGAGCGATACTATATTTTTAAGATGTAACTACGTGGTGTAGGTATTCTGGGTTATTGGTTAAATAGTAACAGCCTCCCAGGTTTATAATACTAACAACTTTTGTTCCATGACTTTTAATTTTTCGTTATAACTTTACTTTGGATAAAAAATAAATATATTTAAATAAATCACTCTAAACGGTTATAACTCTGCAAAACGCAGGAGCGCGGTTGGAGGTCAACGGGGCGGACGCTTACACATTTGAACTTACTACCTCACTACCAAATACAGATCTAAAATGTGTCAAATAGTACATAAAAAGAGTTACAAAAATTATTGTTTATGATCTTAGTGATATACTCCTGTTATAGATATATTATTTTATTGCTCACCCACAAAAAGTAAAACAGTATGATAGAGAACAAAGAACTAATGTGGGTAAAGTTGATATTATCACTAAGAGTGATTTCTTTTAGCCAACATTTGAGGCAAACGAAAACTAAACAGCTGTGTGTTAATTGTAAATATTAATAAAATCTTACATTTTATTATTATCAAATAATAGTCAACCATAATATTTACCTGTGTATCTATTTGTATATATAAATATATAGAAACATAATTAGGATGATTGTAGGTATTAATGATAACAGATAACATTAACGAAAAACAAATTATTAATTCGTGTTAAATATTTAGTTTCGAAAACAAAATGTTGGATAAACCATGCCCAATTTGCATGGGAAAAAAATATTTTGTATCACGAACTTATTTTTAATCAATTCTCATTTATCAAAACAATCTGTAATTAACATGTTGATAGAATGAATAAAATCAAGTTTTTAGTTGGGTTACTGCTTACTTCATCATGTTGTACCGCCCCGGAGGTTTATTCCTATTACCATAAAGTACGGAAGCTATAAACCGGAGTTGCCACGAAATTTAGTTCCCGCGATGCCATTATATGGCGGTAAATAATATAAGAACCGAATCATTACGTTGCTTGTTTACGTTCACAACATGTTTTGTTGCCAGTGTTTAGTCTTGATTGTTTACTCTAGAAAATTTATTCCAGAGATTTCAATCACGTGTAAGTGTTACACATGTGAGACGGATATTTTTCTTCTATCACTACTTTACTTACTTTACTATATAATTACATTGTTATTTTGGCACATATTTTCAATATTATTATATGATGCAATCATCGAGTACATATATAATAAATCTACTGTTATGGATATACATGTCGCTTGTCACCAGACGCTTAACTTGTTCGCCCCATCACTTAATATTATAAAAAAATCATCTAATGCGGTGGTATAAAGCACACCATTTTTTTTTTCATTTAAAAAGGAAATAAGTGCGCCATTGATCTCCATATCACCTGATAGAAAGTGACGAAGAGGTCGACGATGGAGCATGCACATTTAAATAATGCATTTTCACTCTCGCTTTAAAAAGGCCTAAGTTATAGTGTTCAGGGAAACTCTATGGAGAAAATCCATGCCTGGTTATGGGATCATAATATAATTGCTAAAGTTATAGTGTCTGGTAAAAAGTGGTAGTATCTGACATAATGAAATTGCGTAAGTATCGAATAAAGAGTGTGTTATTTAAAACTAAAAAGGTCATTCCACTATAAATTGCCCATTTATTCGCAATGAGGATATCAGATTCAATAAAAACATTTCTTCAAGTTACCGAAAACAAAAAAAATCGAGCAAAATTTCAAAATTTGAATTGAATAAGGAAGAACACTTTAATAGCAAATTACGTGCAGCTAGGATCAAAGAAGGCATAAAAAATCAAAAGGCAAAACACCCGAACTCTACAGTATAAAACTTGTGGGAGTGTCAAGCGGCATCTGGATTATAAAAAAGTATCTCGCAAAAAGTAACAACGTTGCTTAGGATACCTCAATGATCTTTATTTTATTTATTTATCAGTTATTTTAAACCATTATTTGGTACATATTTGGTTAGTAGCAATTGTCTTCAAATTTAATTAATATTGAACAAGGCGACTGTGAAACGCATGTGACATACATTCCAGTACCTTACCAAAGGTATATCGGCATTAAACGGCATCAGCATTAAACAATTTAAAATAAATTCTAAATTCCTAACAAAAATTATAAACTCAGGAGAATTATTTTCCTCTGTAGGGACTACGCTTCTCTATAGGTTTTAAAGTTTTTTATGAATCGTAAATGTAAACTCATCTCGAGTTACGGCTGAAAATAAAAACGACAGTCTGGAATATTCTGAGTTGATTACGATTAAAATATGTTTAAACAGAATAAGTACAAATATAAAAAGTTACAATAATCTTAATTAAATTGAGCTGATGTGCTGACGAGTGGGAGACGTGAATAAATAGAATTTCTTTCGGAATTATAAATTATTTTTATAGAAACATCATCATGGACGTATAATATTATAACATATAGGACATATAATTTTATCATTTCGATAAAATTTATACGTTCTTAAGAATTCGGTATGGAAAAAAACTGTTTTACAAATAGTCTATTTTAAGAAGTCAATTTTTCGCCAATCTAATGAGACGTACTTTGAAATTTTCGAAAGACAACATTTTAGGTGGCAATATCTCGAAAGTTACCAAAATTGAAAATTAATAATTATAATTAAATTAATTATAAAAAAAATTTCAAATATATTTTATTTACAGCCTCCCATTTTTACATACATTTTCTTATATTTAAAGGAAACTACATTTTTTATGTAAAGTGGAAAGCAAACGAGCAAACGATTCACTTGATGGGAGGTAGTCGTCGTTGCCCATCTTTTTTTTTATAATATCAAGTGACAGGAGGAATAAGTCGTGCGCCTGATGTTAACGCCTGTCTATAACAGTTACAGTGCCACTCAGAACTTTGAATCGTAAAGATCTGAGCCTCTGTGCCTAGCTGTCACCCTGAGCCGTAAGTTGACAAGTCCTATGTGCCTGTAATTTCCCCATCATCATCTGCAACACCAGAGGAGCTGCCTGTGCGTTGCCAGCCTTTGAAAGCCTTGTTGAATCGCTTTTTGAAGAAACCCGTATCACAGCGCAAAGGACATAGTTCAGACATAGTTCCTTCAGGAAGGAACATCTTGCACGAGGAAGGAACGAACGTGAGGCCCGCATGGTTTTAAAAAGCCAGAGGATGTGGGTATGGGCTCTACTCCTTTGGCGAGAGGTACTACGGTTACCAGTTTTGAAATTTTCTCTATTCAATTCCCGTTATGC